TTGAACTTTACCATCTTCTTGGTCCTTGGAGGTCTCTCTCATTCAGTGAGCAGACAGAGAATGAGAGAGAGATGAGCCAGGCCCGGGAGGGGCACATTTCACTGCTACTCACATGCCTGTAGCTGAACTCAGACATATGTCTACTCCTAAATCTCAGGGCCACTGGGAGATGCAGTCTTCCTGTGGATACAAGCACTGGGGTCTCCAGCAGGGTCTATGCACGGGGCTGATAGGGGTCCAGCTTTGGAGTAGTGTGCAGGGAAATGGAGATCTGAAAGCAAGGCTGCCAAGGGCGTGTCATGGGAGAGCAGGCCGAGGGCAAGACAGGCATCGTCACAGAACTCCTGAGGAAGTAGTGCTTTTCCTGAGAGAGGGAAGTAGCACTAAATGTGTAAGTATCATTACTGTCCTTGGATTTTTAAATAACTAGACAAGAGAGTCTGTCATTCATACTCTCCAAATGCCACTTAGCAGACCTAAAAGTAAGAAAGCCAAATGAAACGAGTCACTTTACAAGTCAGTTCCGTGTTGGCTGAGCAGCGATCCTTGCCGGACCCTGAGCTATGTAGGCCCCGAGGGCACAGCGATGGATGAAAGCAGCTCCCATCCTCTGGTCATTCTCAGCCCAGTGAGGAGGGATGCGCGAAGCTCGGAGCCCGCGCTGCACTTCTGATCGCATGACGCGCTGTCACGGGGGAGGACAAGCGAGGAAGCCACCATCCCTGCTTGGGGGCCCGTGGATAGCAAAGAGCATGTCACTGGAGCCTTGAGGGATGTGCAGGGTTACGACAGGAAAAGGTGGATTCCAAGGACCACTGAAGCAGAGAGGGAAGACCTAGGGAGACGCAGGTATATAGCATGTAGAAGGCATTGCTCAAAAAGCAGTGGCTTATTTTAAACCTCAGTGGTCCTGAGAAAGACCTTGTAAAAGCATGGTTTGTCCTAATAGCAAATGGTTTAAAATAGCGATATCTACAGGTATTATTACAAAGAAAGAGCATACTATTTGAAATTGTGGTGGTCACTGTAGATATTTTTACCTTCCTATTGAGCAAGAATTGTTTTCTCATGTACATATCGGAAAAGCAGAAATATTTGCAGCCATATTTATGGTATTTCATATTTATGCATTTTTATTTAACTAAAGTAACCTTTACAAACTGTCAGGCACTGTTCTGAGCACTTTACAAATATTCATCCATGTAATTCTCCTAACAACCCTGTGAGGGAAGTATCATCATCGTTTGCGCTGTACATTTGGGGGAACAAAGGCACAGACATGTGACCGCACAGCCAGTAAGTGGCATTACAAGGGTTTAGGACCCAAGCAAACCAAGGCTCCAGGGTCTGGGCTATTTTCAATCATTTACTCATATCAAACAACACATCACAAGATTTGGTTTGCTATCCTAGCCCCCTTGGAGTTCCCAGAAAGATGACACACTTCAAAGGATGAGCAGAGAGAAGTGGTCAACATGTCAAATTAACAAGTGTGACCTCGGCGTGTGCCTGAGGATGAGTTCTGCGGCAAGGCCTGGCCCAGGGAGAGCGGTGGGGTGGCTGTGGTCGCAGCCCGCTGAGCTGCGGGGACGGCAGTGACAGACAGGAAGCTGAGCTACAGAGCAGACTGTGCGGAGGACAAGCAGCAGGGTCTGGCAGCAGGTGGCAGGAGGAGCGAGAGAGAGGCACGACTTTCCAGCAGCGTCCATCTGCTGTCTTGTCCTTGTCTGCCAGTCGAATTTAGCCGGGTGACTTCTGAAAGCCAACTGCCCTTCACCTTAGAGCGACTGTTGACCAACAGTAACAGTACTTGCAAGTGAAGAAGTGAAGCACGAACTTGACCTAGGAGTGGTTCTTGAAGGAAATAGGGCGGAGAGTTTCCTATTCGGATACTTTGAAAACACAGACCAGCCACTACCATCTATGCGGAAGGACCCCACTGGGCCCAAAGGTTCTTACACTAATGGTTACGCCCACCCGGCTGTGGGAGGGCTTCTCCATCCAAAAAGGGTCAGAGGAGACAGGAGAGGGGAACACCCAGGCTCCCCCGAGAGCTGCTCCGGCGCTGCCCGGGCGTGGGCATGGGCGCCCGGACGCCCTGCCAGTGAGTTAGGGGCTGATGAATGCTGACTGTTTTCTCTTCAGTTTCTTGAATCCATTCAACCCACTGGACTCTATTTTCAATGGTTGTGGGTTTTGCTTGTTTTTCTTTCATTTGGTCTTCCTTTTTTTAAAAAATAATTTTTATAGTTCTTTCTTTATTTGTTTTTTAATTGGAGGCACTGGGGAAGGAACCCAGGACCTTCTGCGTGCTAAGCACCTGCTCTGCCACTGAGCTGTACCCACGCCCCTCTTCGGTGTCCTTCGACCAGAGGGCGTCTCCTGGTGTTCCACGAGCAGCACGCTTTGTTGCAGGGATCTTGGCCTGGTGGTCAGGACAAAGAGGTCGAGACCCTTCCTCCCTGGCACTTTCAAAGCCAGCTTGCTGGCCTGGAGCAAGTTGTTCAACTTTCTCGGCCTCTCTCCTCCCCTGTCTGCCGCCCTAAGCCTGCTGGGTTTCCTCAGTGCAAGACGCACTCAAGTACGAAGAGTCCAGATGCGAAGTCGTCCAAGCCTGCTGGGTCTGCTGCTTTCCGCCCGCCCTCAGCTCTGCCCGTGGGTGACTCGCTCGGAAGGCTGTGCAGGCTTACAGACAGGAGCTGTTTTAGCCTTCAGGTGAGTGACAAGCCGTTCCGTCCCGAATCTGCACCCTCCCCTGCTCACACGGCTCGACGCGGAGATGCAGAGCAGTGCCTTAGCCGTTGCCGGAGCTGCGTCTCTCTGGGAACATTTGCCTTCCTTCTGTGTCACACTCAGGACACACTTTGTCAAAGGACTCATCTGATCTAGCCCAGTGGCTTGCTATTTTATTTTATTTTAATTAAATTTTTTTCTCAAGGACTGTAACTTGCTTGACACGAACCACATTTGCTATTCAGATGGGAAACTGCTTTCTCAGCTCGGTTATTTTACCTCATCTTTTGTTTTTTTTTAATTTTTGAGATCCAATTGACATGTCACACTGTGTCAGTTTAAGGTGTTGATTTGATACATTCATATATTGCAAGACGATTACCATCAGACAATTAGCTGACACCTTCCTCGCATAACATAATGATCATTTTGTTTTACCCCATCTTAAGCCAACGAAAAACTTGTTTTCAGATAGCAATTCACAGGCGTATTAAAGGTGGCTACAGCTTAAGTACAAGTCATGAAGTGTTGACAGGGACATGGGGTAATTGATTTTGGTCAGTTTTAAAGGTCAGCACATCTTCCTTCCTGCTTCCAGTCCCCAGGTTGACGTTCCTGTAAACTAATGGGCAATTTTGATTTTACCAGGTTGCCTTAATCCCCAGGCCAGATGTGTTAAATCTCCCCCAGGTTTCTCTTAACAAAGTGACAGCAGGTTTTAATCTTCCTGTACATACTACAGCAGCTGTGCAAACATTTCATTAGCAAGAGAAAAGTGGGAAGCATTAAACCTGTGGGTAACTTGTGCCTAGCATTTGCTATCAGTAGACTTTAAGATGCCCCAAAGTAAGGATAAATCTGTGAGCCTTAAATTCTATTTTATTTCAAAAAGCTTGAGTAGTCATAACAAAGAAATTAAACTCCACCTAGGGAATTAGAAAATGTAAGAAGAATCTCTGCATTAGTATTCAGCAACACAATTCTCTAAAAGCATATGCGCCAGAAAGAATAAAACAAAGCAACTTCCAGGCAATTCACATTCTGAATGGGGAAGCTATGAAATGGGAGGCAGGCAAGTCTTTTAAATGAAAAACTGTTTAATATAATATTTACATGCTGTCCTTCCTAAGTTTTTGGAATTACGTCGACATTTGTTCTCAAGATACAAAATTGTTCAAAGACAGCTGGGAAGTCAACGCTTGGACTTTGATTTGTCTTGGTTTTATTACCATTAAAGTGATTTATTATGTTTATTTCATAGTTCTCCTCCCTGAGAATTTTTAATGTACTGCTGATGTTTTATTAGTTGGAGAATGTTTTTATATCAAAGAATCTGCCTATGGATTCTATACTTACTAGTATAAAAAGTAAGGACAAATCTCTCCTGCTTTCCTAGCTCATTTTTATTAGAACATAACTCATACTGTGTACAAACAGAAACATTTATCTCTTACTTTCTTAAATGATTCAGGTTACTATAATTTTAGGTGTAGGCCCCCTCCTCCATGCAGGCCTCCCCTAATCCAATAGTAGGAAATCATTTCCCTCAATCCTCTGCTGGGGCTTTTTTCTACTTTCCTCATGGTGTTCATCACATAGTTCACTATATTATAGTTCTTTGTGTACATGTTAATCTTCCTGCTCCACAGCGAGCTTGCTGAGGCCAGGTACTAGGGCCAACCCAAAGTATCCACCCACGCCCCCCACTTGGCCACAGATGTCCACCGAGTGAAGCCCGTGGGTGGAACGCGATGCTGATGGTGGGGCTCTTACTTCCCTCCTGTTTGGCTGTTTGTCTCAGTGAGCGCACTCTGTTATCCGCAGCTGTGCGCTGGGTCTGGAAAGGGTTATGGGACCAGCTGAAAGAGAGGGACAAGACACAGTCCCTACCTCTAGAGAGACCCCATTTCGGGGAGGAAGTTTGCAAGTCAACAATAAACATATCTGGCAGGTTTAATAAAAACAATCATGTAGTTTTGGGGAGACTAATTTACATTACATTTAAAAATTCCAGCACGAGAAAAGTCCACAGTAGAGCTTTCAAAATTGGAGTCAATGCTGCCAACCCCTGCTGTTGCTTTAGCAACTAAGTTTATGTAATAGTCTGAACCCTTTGTTGTTATATCCATAATCTTCACAGCATCTTCGCCAGGAGTAGATTCCATCTCAAGAAGTGACTTCCTCTCTAGCTATGAAAGTCCTAGATGGCATCTTGTTCCAATAGAAGGCTGTTTCATCTACATTGAAAATCTCTTGTTTAGTGCAGCCACCTTCATGAATTCTCTGAGCTGGATCTTCTGGAGAACTTGCTGCAGCTTCTGCATCAGCACTGATACTTTTATGTAATGGAGACGGCTTCTTTCCTTAAACCTCATCAACCAACCTCTGCTCACTGCAAATTTTCTTCTGCAGTTTCCTCACCTCTCTCAGCCTTCATAGAACTGAAGAGAGTTAGGGTCTTGCTCTGGACTAGGCTGTGACTTAAGGGAAGGTTGTGGCTGGTTTGATCTTCTATCCAGACTCCTAAAACATTGTCCATATCAGCATAAGGGTGTTTTACTTTCTTATCATTCGTGGGCTCACTTTAATTTCCTTCAAGATCTTTTCCTTTGCATTCTTGGCTAAGTGTCTGATGCAGAGGCCTCACTTCCAACCTGTCTCAGCTTTCAACATGCCTTCCTCACTAAGCTTAATTGTTTCTGGCTTTTGATTTAAAGTGAAAGATTTGCAATCTTTCTTTTTACTTGACCACTTAGGGGCCATTGTAGGGTTTTTTTATTGGTCTAACTTCAATTATGTTGTGTCTCAGGCATTCAGGAGGCCTGAGGGGAGGGGGAGGGAGGGGGAGGAGCTGCCGGTTGGTGGAGCAATAAGGACACACATGACCTTTGTTGATTAAGCTCACTGTCTTATGTAGGCACGGTTTGTGGTCTCAAAATAATGACAGTGGTAACATACACAGATCACTGATCACAGCTCATCATCACAAATATAATAATAACGAAAAAGTTTGAAATATTGCAAGAATTACCAAAATGTGACACAGAGACAGGAAGTGAGTAAATGCTGTAGGGAAAATGGCAGCGACTGAGTTGTTTGGCACAAGGTTGCCACAGACCTTCAATTTGTATCAACTTTAATATCTATGAACCTCCATAAAGCAAAGTGCAATAAAACAAAGTATAGCTGTGCTCAACAGTACTCATTTTGTGCCGGGTACTGTACTTACTACTTTTCGTGCAATAATGCCCGCAATAGCCGTGTGAGGTCGAGATCAGCATCATCCTCACTTTATGGATGACAGGATTGAGAGATGGGAGGGACTTGAGAGCACATCAGGACGCAGGTTAATAGTAGGTCCATTTGAGTCATCCTGGTTTTGCCTCAGTGGGGATAAGAAGTGGATGGACTCTTGGTGTTGCCAACTCTCTGTGAATGAACCAGATTTCGTCGTGGGAACGCTGCTCAGAGTTCTTCTCGTTGACTACACGAGAACAGACTGTTCTAGGACCCTAGAGTCCCTCCACCCCTCCAGAGTCAGAGGGACAGTGCCCTCGGGCTAGAAGGCCTGCTTTGCCATCATGGGAAGCTTCGGGATAGTTATCCTTTCTAATTGCGAGGTTCTGGATGCAGAACCGTGTTTTTTTTCTAATTCACATAGGACAGTGGATGACTTCACAGATCTGGAGACAGAGGACCTGAGGTCACATCCAAGCTCTTCCTTTTCTTGCTGGATGTCCTTAGCAAAGTTCCCTACCTTCTCTGCACCTCAGCTTCTTCATTTGTGAAACAGGACTTACAGTGGTACCTATCTTGTATGTCGGTTGGAGAAGTTAGAACACGCCTAGCGAGGAGGAGGCACTCAGTGCACCGTGCCTGTCGCTGTATGCATGTCACTAAGGGAGCGTGCTTGCTTTTCCTTGAACTTCTTTCAATCTTCAGCCTCTACCACTTTGCGGTGGTAACTCAGCTGCACGTGTAACCCTAGCATTTGTTTTCTCCGCAGTCCCCTGGAGCAGCTGTGCTTGCTTGATGTAGTTTGCCAACTTCCTTTACATTTTGCCGCTCTCATATTTGCTTTGGATCCGTTTGCATTTCTGAACAGTCTATTTGCCTGGTGAATGCAAGTGGACACTCAGTTGGAAAGAATGCTGAACTCACTTAGAAAGAACCCCCATTTGAATTCTCTACTTCAGTACTGTTCCAGAATTGAGACTCACTGAAGAATCTTCCATAGAAGATGCTGCAGAACGTGGGAGGGGGAAAAGTGTCCATTAGCGAGTCATGAGAATCAGGGAAAGATTTCCTTGCTTCGACAAACATTTTGGAGGACGTACTATGCGCCAGACGCTCTAATAGACATGGGGGATATAGTAACGAAAAAAAAGTTTTGCCATTTAGCTTGGGGTCCAGTGGGGAAAGCATAAGCAAGCAGGTGATTAGAATAGAGTGTGGCAGGTCCTACAGGCAGAATAAGCAAAGGCGCCGGGCCCGCCTCCTGGGAGGAGCCGTTCAGCCTAGAGAACGCGGAGCCTCCTCTCGGGGCGCTGGTCCGAGCCCGCCTCGCTTCACTCTTGGGAGACTGAAGCAGCGTCTCCTCTCTTCTTCCTGGCTCCTTCAACTCCAATCCGTTTTTGGCAGAACTGTGGGTGAATTTGTCAAAAAGATACTGGCAAAGAAAAGAAGTTGATGAAAATCAAACCAGACAAATCAGCATGTGTCAAGATTGAATTATCTCCTGTAACTCTACAGCTGTACACACACACAAACACACACAGACACACGCACGCACACACACACACACACAGTTAAGTTTTGTGTACCCTGAGCACTTTTGAAATGTGCTTATGCGCTTTTATGCATTTCTGGCCATTTATTCTTCTTATAAAGTATTTTTGATAATTTCTAGAAATGCTGGGAAAATTTTGCAGTTGTTAAGTGGGTTTCTTTGTTAAGAATTTTTATTCATTTTTTGTAATTAAAAACAGTTTAATTCATTTTTTAAATTATACCAGCTCTGCATGTTTTTCAATGTTGCTTGAATTTTAAAATACAGCTTCTGGCTCTAAATAAATTGTCAGGAAGTGAAGTGGCCAAAAGCAATGTTACCAGCCACTAGTTCACTTATTAATGAATTTACTTCATCTCAGGGTGATTCTAGAGCATGTCTGATACTCACAAATTATTTTCTTCCATGGTCCGGATAATTTTCTCTTTAAACTTAAATTTAATTTTAAATTCAATTTAATTGATAATTAAATGATTAATTTAATCGATAATCTATGATTCAACTTAATTGATTGATAATTAAATGAATTTTTAAATTCATTTTAAATTTAGACTAACATGGAGGCTGATTTTACCTTTGTAGTATATGTAAACCACTGTAAATTGATTTGTAGTTTGTGTTTCAGCAGGGTTAACAGTCTTCACAGCAAAGAAAAGCAAAGAGAAATCTAGTAGGAAGAAGAGGATGACTGCTTTGGTTTTGGGATAGTTTTGAAATAGGCACTACGCTTTTAAATGTTGAGTTAGTATTTACATCAAGATGGGAAATGAAGAGACGAGAAATCAGTTCCGTAGCTCCCTTCTTCTGTGTTAACCTTTACAATACCTGTAGGCATTTTGTCTCAACCACACTGAATTAGTCATTCTACCCCCTTAGACTGGCCAGTCATAGTGAATAGGGATAATGTAGACAAACCTGCTAAGTAGTGACCCAGCTGCTACCCCGACACATTCATCTTCTGGCAGTTCACTGTGTGAGCTCACCTGCCATTTCAACCAGTGATTTTCAAACAAAATCTCTTTCCTTTCTACCGCCCCTAGAGTTCACTGTGTAAAATCTGCCTGTCACCAAGGCTATTTCTTGCTCAAAAAAGTCCTCTACATTCTTAGCAGAATAAATTGCACATTTATTAGCTTAACATTCAGCCTTGAGTACATAAGAGATACTCACTTACTTTTGTTGGTGATAAGAATAATAATACTCTGTGGTGTGCTTAGCACGTGCTAGACACCGTCCTAAGTGCTTTTCGTGGATTACGTCATATCGTTGCACCAAGTAACTTTATGTGGCAGGTGCTATTATTACCCTCCTCTTCCGGACAAGGAAGTGGGAACTCGGAGAGGGTAAGAACCATCCCAAGTATACCCTGGATTTGAACTCATCTCTATTGGCCTCTCATGTTCTGTACATTGTTTTCTGCTGTATATCATTCTAGTCATATTTCTAAAGCTCTAAATTCTAGCTCTGCAAGTTAATTTTAATTTTCTAATCTTTCTATCATGCCAAAACATACATAAAATGTACCCTTTTATCCATTTCTTAGTGTACAATTCAGTGGCATTAAGTAATTTGCAGTGTTGTGCAGCCATCACCGTTATCTATCCCCAGAACTTTTTTGTTAACCCAAGCCTATGTTTTACCCATTAAACAGTCACTCTCCATTTCCTCTTACTTGCAGCCCCTGGTAATCTCTCTTCTACTTTCTCTGTGAATCGCCTATTCTAGGTACCTCATATAAGTGAAATCATATAATATTTGTCCTTGTATGTTTGGTTTATTTCACATAGCATGTTTTGAAGGTTCATGCATGTTGTAGCCTGTACCAAAATTTCCTTCTTTTCCAAGGCTGAATAATATTCCGTTATATGTATATGCCACACTTCACTTATTCATTCATCTATCGATGGGCAGTTGGGTGGTTTCTACCTTTTGGCTATTATGAATAATGCTGCTGTGAACATTGGTGTACAAATATCTGTTTGAGTCCCTGCTTTTAATTCTTTCAGATATATAATTATGACAGGAATTGTTGGTTCTTATGGTAATTCCATTTTTAATTTTTTAAGGAACCACTATACTGTTTTCTTTCTTTTTTTATTGAAGTATAAATTACTGACAATATTATATTAGTTTCAGGTGTGCCTCTTAATGATTTGATATTATATACATTATGAAATGATCACCACAGTATGATTAGTTACCATCTGTCACCATACAAAGTTATTATAATATTATTGACTTATATTCCCTACACTGTACAGTATATCCTTGTGACTTATTTATTTTTTAGCTGCAAGTTTGTAGCTCTTTACCCCCTTCACCTATTTCACACATCCCTCTACCTCCACCCCCTGGCAACCATCAGTTTGTTCTCTTTATCTATGAGTCTGTTTCTGTCTTGTTATGCTTGATCATTAGTTTTGTTTTTCAGATTTCACATGTAAATGAAATCATATGGTATTTGTCTATATGTCTGACTTATTTCACTTAGCATAACATTCTCTAGGCCCACCCATGTTGTCACAAACGGCAAGATTTCATTCTTTTTTATGGCTGAGTAATATTCCATTATATAGACAAATGTGTGTGTGTGTGTGTATGTGTGTATATATCTCACATCTTTTTTATCCATTCATCTTTTGATTGGCATTTAGGTTGCTTCCATATCTTGCCTATTATAAATAGTGCTACAATGAACATTGGAGTGCATGTATGTTTCCAAGTTCATGTTTCCATTTTCTTCAGCTAAATACCCAGGGGTAGAATTTCTGGATCATATAGTAGTTCTATTTTTGATTATTTGAGGAGCCTCCATACTCTTTTCTACAGCAGCTGCACCAATTTACATTCCCACCAACAGTACATGAAGGTTCTCTTTTCTCCCCATCCTCATCCAACACTTGTTGTTTCTTGTCTTTCTGATGATGGCTATTCTGACAGGTGTGAGGTGGTATCTGATTGTGGTTTTGATTTGCGTTTCTCTGATGGTTAATGATGGTGAGCACCTTTTCAAGTGCCTGTTCCGCCGTACTCTTTTCTACAGCAGCTGCACCATTTTACATTCCCATCAGCAATGTACAAGTGTTCCAATTTGTCCACATCCTCTCCAACATTTGTCATATTCTGGCCTTTTTTTTTTTGGTAATGGCCATCCTAATGAGTGTGGAGTGGCATTTCACATTGATTTTGATTTGTATTTCCATAATTACTAGTGGTATTGAGCCTCTTTTCATGTGCTTATTGGCCATTGTATATCTTTT